AAGACCGTCTAGTGAATGGTGGATTTGAATTGGCACAAAATTTTTTCCCCATGGGGGACATAGCTGCCCAGACTTCTGGTTTCAATTTAGTGAAGGCCAAAGTCATTCTAATGCAACTGTGGTCCTTTCACATCACCATCTAGGCAGCAGCATTTCCAAGCGTCAGCCTTTGTTCAACATGCAGATCAAGTTACTGCGTGACTCCTCAGTGCTTCCAGGACCATCACACATTACATTACAGTGTTGGCCACTCTAGGTAACTGTGCCTGGTTCCCCAGAAGACAGTAAACCGCTGCAAAGAAGGAACTCAGCCCCCTTTTCCAAGCACAGAACCTCTTCATCATTCATGGTGACTCGATCAAGTAAGTCTCTGAATTTAGCTCAGTTTTCATTAGAGAAGGCAGAAGCCCACTCTATTTCAGAGCAGGAGAGGAGGTGCCCCTCTCAAAGCCAAAGGCCCACTAAAGCTGGCAGTCCTGAAATCTTACAGTTAAAGATGGAAAGGCTGGCTCGAGGATCTCCCTACAAACCAGAACTGAAGAGGCAATTATTCATTCTGCTATTTTGTAAGAGAATCTTCAATCTGAATGCTAATCATAACTATGTTACTGTTTGGCAACACTAAACCTCTTGAAACTCCCTTTGCTTTCAGTTACAAGTTTTAGTTGTGTTTACTGAAAGGGGAATTGATGTAGCACATACATATGTGTTTACTAAGAAAACCATTCAACTACTGTGGAAAGATATGGAATGAAGTGGCCAACAAAAATAAATGCAAACTCCAACTCATGCCTGCACTCAGTCTCTCATCTTACAGCCCCCAACAGAGACAGTTATTGCTTCAACAGAGGGTACTCATGAATTTAAAATGAACCTCTGTAGCCAACAAGCCATAGTTTCTATGTATGTATATTCATGGTGGCACAAATTCCCACTTACCCATGCACCTTTCTTGCAGATCATCAGAGTTTCAGGGTCCATTAAATTCCATAAGCATAAATATCCACCAGGAGTGGATATTCTACTAAGCATTCTCAGAAATACAGATAAGGGTGAAACACAGTACAAATGTAGTTTTTAGGGACTCAAAGTCTAGAAGAGGAGTACATAACTTATAAGGCATGGAATGTGTGATAAAAACCACAAAACAGCCACAAGGAACTGTGCTTTTTAAATAAAGAGAGGAGGCTTCCCCTTCGGTGATCCAGAAATGATTACAAGAGCTGGAGTGTAACTTAGCCACAGAGCACATACGTAGCATACACAAGGCCATACGTCCCATCCCCATGACTGGGCAGGAAGGGAGGGAAGGAGGGAGGGAGGGAGGGAGGGAGGGAGGAAGGAGGGAGGACTGGTCAGGTAATTTCATCCAAGTGTGGATGTTGTAGATAATGGGGAGAATTTTGAACGGTTGAATGATTGGGTGGGTGCAGACAGTGGCATCTACAAAGAAAGAAAATTAAATTGCTATAGGGCCACGTAGCGCATATGGACTAGGTTATAGGTACTCAAGATTGAACACTTGAGAACTGTGCTGGGACCATCTAGCCCCCTGAACATAATGGAGAATCTTCCACTTGAGAGTGGATGTGGGAAGCTACTGCTCTAAGTTTTTGTGTAGAGGAATATGGGATACAAATTAGTCCAGTTAGGGGCTGGGAAGAGAGCTCAATCACTAAGGTGCTTGCCACATATGAATAAGGATTACCGCCAGGAATGGGGGCATACACTTGCAATCCCAGCACTGTATAAGAGAAGCTAAGGGCACTCCTGTAGCTCTTTGGCCAGTTAGTCTTGCCCAGTTGGTGAGCCCCCGAGAGACCTTGCCTCAGAGAACAAATGGAAAGAAACAGGGGAAGACACCTGACACTGACTTCTAGCTTCTACAAGAACACACACGCATATACACATATGCACACACCTGCACACATGCACATGTACACACACACACACACACACACACACACACACACACTCCACTTAAAAGACCAGCATTTGGCTGTCAAAAAGGACAATGAGTTAACTTCAGAGAGACCAACAGTGAGATTGTTATGATCATCATGTAGATGAGAAGGAGAGAAGGGATGTCCTTTGATTATGGTGCAAGGACTAAGGAGGCAGGAAGGTCTGAAATCAGTGTCGTAATGATGGTGTCTGGTACCTTGTTCAACTCACAAATCTGTGAAATGAGAAGTGGTAACAATTTACTGTGGGGAAGTGTTCTCAACAAAGACAATGCCAGACGCAAATGCCCTCCTCTCTCTAGCATATCCCCTTTTATATTGCAGAGTAATTTTGTCAGTTGATTATATGCTTTAAACACAAATAGAAATTTCTACCCAGTTTCTGGTGAGACCTTAATTGTAGAGCCTGAGCCAGGTGCTTGGCTCCTAACACTTATCTCCAAATGTGGCCATTCTGAAGACTGCTTTGACTGCCATGGTCTGATGTGGCTTTAGGTTTTCCTAACTAACAAAACTATAGTACTTTACCAGCTTTCTCCAATACTAGGAAGACTTACAAAACCTTTCTCTATGGCCACAGCATCCGTTCTCCACCTTCAGCTCTGTTTGCAGGAGGTAGAGTGAACTTCCAAACTCGGAGACATACAGAGGCTTTCAAGATTCATTTCAGAATAGAATTAATGAAAAGTTCCATTCCTTAAAAGGCTCCAAACACAAACACAGGCAACTTTGCTAGGAGCACTTCGCTTGCTTCCTGTGGGTTTCTATAGACACACAGTCTTTGCTAGACTGCAAAGACTACATCAGAGGCCTGGAAAAGCTGCACCAGATTCATGGTTGGAAGAACTCCAGAGAGCTTCTCTGAGTAGGAAAGGGAAAGATTTGCCCCTCCTCTGACAAATTTGCTATAAGAGCTCAGATAGTTACATAATTAGGGTGCTGATGGGACCGTAAATTCTTTCACTGGCCCTTCCTGGAGACATGATGTCCACTGATGAGGGAGTGCTCTGAGACAACGTTTAAAACCTGTCACCCCACAGCTAATAGGGAACCCAGCTGATGCAATTTGTGTCCAGATGTACAAGTCTAGTGTATTTCCCTTCCGCAGACTTTTACAATCTCTGACTTGGACCGAAATCCCCTCTGTTGGGATTCAACAGCCCCGGCAGAGCTCACTTCCTAAGACACTCCTTTGAGATGTGCCGAGAGAAGGCTCCGGATGAATAGTAAGTATTCTTAGTGTAGAAAGCAGGAGTTGAGGTATACAGGAGGGTTTGGATTGGGAGGAAAAAGAAGCAAAAAGGATGTGATTCTATTATATCAAAAATAAAATAAGTAATTAAAAAAGAAACCGTCTAGAAATATGTTTTTTTTAAAAAAAAAAAAAGTAGAGGGGCTCCAGAGAAATGCTTCCTTAGTGCTGAGAAAAGCAAATTGGCAGGTTAGGAATCAGCAGAAACAGTGGCAAAGAGGAACCTGGTGACTGCCTGAGGGAGGGAGGAGGGACCTGCAGGCTGTCCAGCTGAGCCTAGAAAGCCAAGGTCAAGCCCCAAAACATAAGCAGTAGTAAGTACCTGAGCTGGCCAATTTAGGATTCCCTGAGTGTCTGAGGCTGGGCAGCAAGCTCAACTTTGTAAAGGTAGACACTGAGAGAAAGGAGGTGGTGGGGGGAGCATCTGAAAAAGAAAGGGGCGTCTGCTTGGGACAGGCTGGACCAGAAGTTGAGATTTAGACTGTCTCTTCTTCCCCTCTAAGCTCCTTTTAACGCAATTGTTGTGGAGATGGTAGGAGTGGGGACACCACCATCATAAAATGCTATTTCCCTAGCAAAGGAGGAGATAAAGCCTCCTTTGCATTCTGCCCCTAACCATTTCCTTCAAAACTTCAAATGTGCATACGTCACCTCAAAGCACAAATGTTCTTGTCTATTAAGTCACGCGTCATTCATCCATTCACTCTGAAAATATATCCTCTATCTACATCTATCCAGCTCCTTGCCCGGGAGCTCCTTCTCCTTTTATTTCAGTTCCGGAGGTTTCTTCTTCTCAGGCCCCAGGTTTAAGCTGCCCATAGTGATGTCGAACACATAGGCAAGTATTTGCATACCTTAGCATTTATGGCACCACTTCTCTAATAAAAGAAAGCTAAAACCTCTGCAAAGATTGATTTCATTCCAAGGTCACAGGGGTGCATGACATGTTACTCTGAAGTTCTCTGTTAAGCGAAGACTTCATTGTGAGGACGTTAACTAAAGATTTTTAAAGAGGTATTTCCAAAGAGAATTTTCCCTTCACTGTAAAAGCCCAGTAAATACCAGGGTCCCCTTAGAAGCTGGAGACCACGCCCTCCAGCACAACCCCGAGCCTTTTCCATTTTCCCTGGTGCTAACCGAGTGCATGCCACACGTCACCACTCTCAGTTGGCACTTCTCCCTCAGAGAAGCAAACTTTCTCGGAATTCCAGAGTATGGAGCCCGGGGCGGGGGGTGGGGTGGAATAGAGTTCGGCCGGGGCGGCGGGGGGGGGGGGGGGGGGGAGCACAGGACAAACGAATGCATGAAGGCTCCTCCTCGGGCTGGCGAAATCTTGGCAGCTTCAGAGGCAACCAAGATAATGGCTCTTTCCAAAAATAAGCTGCCCGACCCAGAGGGCTGACAGCCATCAAAACTTTAAGAAGCAAAAATAAATGAATAAAATAAAGTGACGCGGTGTTGTGAGAAAGAAGAAATGAGCCTGTGGCCAAACTTTCCCGTCGTAGCCTTCAAGAGGGTTTGCTTTAAACCTCGGAGCCCTGGGAGCAGAAGGTGCTCAGGCTCCGGTTCCGGGCGCTGCATGATCGGATAGTACTCCCTCTCATGCACCCACTTGGGAGCCCGACTCCTCTTTACCTGCTCCCTGGGACCGCGAAAGCTGAGTTCAGAGAAAACAAAGGGCGCCCCCACACCTCCCTCCCGCTGTTCCGAGCCACGGTGTCAGCAGATGGCTCCGAGGTTCCTAGATGCCCCGCTGGGGAGACACCCCCACCTCTAGCTCCTACCTGGGAAGCCCCGGCTTGGCGGGACGCGAAGCAGCAGCAACAGCAGCAGGAACAGCAGCAGCGCTGGAGGCAGCAAGAGCACAGGCCGGAGTCCCGGACTCCCCATGGCAAGCCGGCGCTTCCCTCGCTGAGCCCGCTGTGCAGGGCACTTAAGGGGCGGGAGGAGGCCAGGAGACCAAGGGTCTGTGTAGTGAGCCAGAGGCGTTAAGGCCAGGCTGGAAAACTCCTCCTTGGCCTCCTTCTTCCCTCCCTCCCGTCTGGGGCCTGCCCCCCTTCCTCCTCCTCCTCTTCCTCCTCCCTGAAACAGAGTGGTTCAGGGCTCCACGCCCCACCATTTGCCCACCCCTTCTTTTTGTTCCATTTTCTGGAAACCCGGCTGTTCCTCTCGGAGCCACAGGTCTCCAGCGAGAGACCCCAGAAACCCATGATATCCAAAAGTATCTTTTGCTTCATTTGCATGCCCCTCAGCTTCAATACACAAGCTAGTGTCTCTGTGACTTCAGGGTTCGAGCCCTTAGAACGAATCCACGCGTGCTAGAGGCTGAAATCCCTATGGGTCACAGAAAAAAAAAAGACAACCCAGGAGTTCAGAGTTGCCCTCTGAAGCTGGATATCATGGCCACATTTGTGGGTTGACACTCACGACTATGCCCAAAGTTTATTATTATGCCTACTGTACCTGGAAAAGACCAACAGCCACTCACAAACTTGTTATGGACAGACCTGGGTTTGGAAACAAGGTGTGTGATTCCACCAGCGACAAGGCTTGTATTATAGGGTTTTACGTTTTCCTTTTGCAAAGGAATGAATCAAGGACGAGGCTTTCTGACTGCCTTCTATGCTGCCTTTTAGAATGGGATTTAAGGGTCAGCTGACAGGGCACACAAGGCCCAGAAAGTTCTCAGTCTACCTCCAACCTCACAGATTTCGGTGGGAGTTTCCTGCATTCAGACCCATTCATCTCCAGTGTTGTAAACGACCTCGAAGAACTGCAGGACTAGTCCAGAGGCTCCACCCTGTGGGAAGGCATGGAGGCATTCTGGCATCAGAATAGGGTTTCTAGGCTGCTCCCAGGATGGATATGGTATCTTTGAGACTTTTGTGGAAGACAAAACCCAGCTAGTTGCCATTGGGATCAAAGAGCCATGTGACTAGACAAGAATCATATCTATTGCAGAACTACATCTTTCTCCTTGCCACGATGGTCCCTTTGCAACGCCAAGGTCTTTGGGAGCAATGACCCAGAAGATTTTTTTTCTTTTTCTTTTCTTTTCTCTCTCTCTCTCTTTCTCTCTTTCTTTCTTTCTTTCTTTCTTTCTTTCTTTCTTTCTTTACTCCTTCCTTCCTTCTTTCCTTTATGTTTTTTGGGGGGTGGGGTAGACTGGACTCAGAAGATTTTTAATTTGTTTATTCAAAAGGGCCTTTCCATTTCTCACTAACGCCTCAAACTTGGGCTTCCATGTTGCCCTCTCCAGTATTTGAGAAAACATCTTCCTACCTAGTTTGGGTTTTGCCGTTGATGCTACTTCCTTCAGTAACCTTCCAGTTGCAAGATATGGGGAAAGTTGAACCCTTCTCTGACGTCTCTCAGATCAGACTCTTCAGAAAGTAGTTGTCAGTCCTGTCACAGACTGGCAGAAACCCAAAGGAGCTTCATTATAACACTATTTAAGATACTAGTCTGGATCAATGAAATCAGAATCCTCAGGGATGTGAGACAATGCCGATGTACCTGCTCACTCTTCACTGCTCAGTGGCACTGCTTTTGGAATAGGCTTCTCAAGCTGGGTGATATTGACATTTGGGGCTAAAGGCTTCTTTCCTAGGAAAGAGCTTCCAGGAGCATTAAAGGGTAAACAGCAGTATACTCAGCATCAATACACCAGATGCCGGGAGAAGCCCCCAACCCCCAGTTGTGACAACCAACAATCACTATGAGACATTATCAAATGTCCCACTTAGCAGAAGTTGCTACCAGTGAAGAACAATTTTTCTAGGCCCAAAAGCAAGGGTTAATGTGTATCCCAAATTACAGGTATGAGTTAGCCTTGTTCAGTGGTCTTCTTTTCTGACATGGCCACTAAAGTGAGGTCTCTTCATGAAGATCAGCACTCATTGAGAAGGAATATCTGGCTCTCTCCTATCACCTGAATCTGTCTTAGCCACGGGAAATGAAATACTAAGTGGTAAGAATCACTCAACTTAGCCAGATGTGGTGATGGCAGGAAGATCACAAATTTGAGGCCAACGTGGACTACATAGGGAGACCCTGTCTCTTACATTGTTATCCATTAGATTTTTGATGCTGCTGTTATTATTATTATTTTGACAGAAGGAACATTCAGATCTACCATAATGATCCTATGTTTTGTTTTGTAGTACTTGTTTTTTTTCTTTTTTTCTTTTGTTTTATTATTATTATTACAAATTTTACCTCGTTCCCTCCTCCCATTTCCCCCCTTCCCCCACTCCCCCTCCCTCTCCAGTCCAAAGAGCAGTCACGGTTCCCTGCCCTGTGGTAAGTCCAAGGTCCTCCCCCCTTCATCCAAGTCTAAGAAGGTGAGCATCCAAACAGACTAGGTTCCCACAAAGACAGTACATGGAATAGAATCAAAACCCAGTGTCATTTTCCTTGGATTCTCAGTCAGCACTCATTGTCTGCCACGTTCAGAGAGTCCGGTTTGATCACATGCTCGTTCAGTCCCAGTCCAGCTGGCCTTGGTGAGTTCTCATTAGATCAGCTCCACCATCACAGTGGGTGGGCGCACCCCTCGGGGTCTTGACTTCCTTTGTATACAAACCCAAAACATTGGTTCTTATTGGAATAAGTGGGAAACCAAGTATAAGGCCATAAGAGGAGTTTGCCATGATATGTTGCATTGATATTTGGCTAAAATTATTGGGCATGGGAAATAGTTTTTTGGCTATAGCAGATCAGTTTCTTGCTAACTAACAGTGTTTACTACATATGTCATAATAATTTACTGTTAACTGATAGGATGTCTTAACTTTTGATTTTAGTATGTTTTAGCTAAATAGCCATGGCCAGATTCTTGAACTGAATATGTCTATGAGACAAATTGTTTAATGGATCTGCCGTAAAAATAAAATATGATGTACAATTAAAAATGAATACTTTTAAATTAAATTTCTCAGATATCAAATGACTTCCAAATTGTTATGACAGGTTCTAAAGTCTTATTCTATGTCTCTGTACTTATTGCAGTTAGTACAGGATACTTCAGAGAGCAGCACCTATAAAAACTGCAAACTGTGTTAGACTTTCCAAGAACAAAGAATAGAAGTACAAGGTGATTGGACATGTGCCTACTGGAATTGTGATGAAGGAATACAAGATTGGGCCAGCTCGGTTAGTATTGGGCTTATTGGTTTCTGTTTCAAAACCCAGTTCTGGGACAGCTCTGGTGAAAATGCCCAAAGGCAAGCACAAAGTAATTAAGGACAGTCTAAGGGTAAGGCCTGTTTACAATCTTCTGGCTAAAGAGACTTCTCTTCTCTTATACTTAGAATGACCTACCACAAGAAATGGAGACTATGTCCACTCTGAAGATTCAAAGGAAAGCAGATCTGTGATATAAAAATAAATCACAGAAAAGCACAGAAAGCAGACACAATTTCAGAAACTGTTGATTTGATGTTTTTGTAAAGATTTTTTTTTAAAAAAAAACCTTTTTATAAAGGACAAAGAAGAAAGCACACGGAGAAAGGAGAAATGAAAGAAGGTAAAATTTAAAAAAGAGAAAAGTAAGCAACTTTTGGTGATAGCTGGCTTTTGTTTAGAAACCATCATTGTTACCCTTATGACCAAAGGAGGTTGAATATCCTAAAAATGGACAACTTTTCTTCTACCCCAAAGAGAATTGAGGTTTCAGGGCAAATTGCCATCTTTCACCAACATTTGGAAAGACAGGTAAGTCAGAGAATCACAGCTGAAATCTGAAGCAGAAGGCATGTTGATGTGGAAAGGTCATTTGTCTATCTGTTGCTTTCATTGGTTAATTAATAAAGAAACTGCTTGGCCTGATAGGTCAGAACATAGGTGGGTGGAATAAACAGAACAGAATGCTGGGAAGAAGGGAAGTTAGGCAGACGCCATGTTTCTCCTCTCCAAAGCAGATGCAATGGAGCCAGCCGCAAGGTCTGACATGCTGAATCTTTCCCGGTAAGACACTACCTCGTGGTGCTACACAGATTATTAGAAATGGGTTAAGCAAGATATGAGAGTTAGTCAAGAAGAGGCTAGATATAATGGGCAAGGCAGTGTTTAAATGAATACAGTTTGTGTGTTGTTATTTCAGGGCATAAGCTAGCCAGGCGGCCAGGAGCGGGTTGCGGGGGGGGGGGGGGGGGGGCAGGAACGCAGCCCGCAGCTCTTCACTACAGCATGTAGTGGTCATAATTTAAATAACAAACTGAAGATTTGCTGGGAACTTAGTGCGGGATAAAGTGAAAATAAAGTGAATGAGTAGAGTTATAGCAATTGCCCCTGAGACTGGTGAGGACGTTACCTTCAGGAGTCCTGCCTGCCACAGTTCTAAGAGGAAGGTCTAAGAGAAAGCCTTTCTGCTCTGGTGTGGGGGCCGAATTATGCAGGCCCATATTCCACATTATCAGGCAGACAGAGAATCTGAGCGCCCTACAAGGCGTAATCTGCACCTTCCACACAGAGAGTGGTCACTGGCTCTTTAATTGTAAAACAACCTGTCACCATCCTCACAAGTGGCCAGGTATGCTAATGACGTTTTTCTCCTTCTATTGTAATTTAGGAGGTTACCAGGGGAAGAGGTGTTTTCAGTCTATGTGACAAAATAGGCATAAACGGGACATGATCTAAGTCTCTCTCTTTCTCTCTCTCTCTCTCTCTCTCTCTCTCTCTCACACACACACACACACACACACACTCACACACACACACACACACACACACACACACACACCTAAGAAACAATGTTAATGAAGTTTGCATTACATGCCCCATCAGTTTACCTTGATATAAAAGCTGTTTAAGACATAAACATGGGTGATTTCAGGATTTGAATAATCTCTGTAACTCCCTCCTGATACTGTTGTGTGAATTGTGTCTTC